GGTGTCTCCTGCCAAAGTCCCTTTCTTCAGGTTGATGTGAACCTACTCCCAAGGTTATGAGACACTGACCAGTTCATCAACAATTAGTCCACTGTTCTCTCAAAAGGGTTTGTTGTTTTGCTCTGACATTTACAGTTTAGGGGTCATTGCCAGGGATGCTGAAAAATGACATTTCTTTGCAATAACTATCTTTGGCAACAAAAATGAGCACGCACCACAAAACTGCAGGTAAAGGACAGAGTATGGTGAAAGTCTAACAGAAGGTCGTCTTCATATGCACAGGAGCCGCCATGCGCTGCTGGCTTTATTCACCTGCCCGCACAGCCCAGTTCTGGATCCCCACTTATGTAGGCTGGGGCATCAATGGAGCTTCCACTGTTCCATAAAGCCCGACTGAAGGTCATTCCTAATTGAACAGCTATTACTGAGGATGCTGGGGGACATTCTAACTAATTATCTATTTGTATGCAAGCTGCAGGTCTAGTTTTCTTCGCTAATACTCTCCTTGATTTCCAAGGAAATGTTGTCCCACTTGGGGTTATGCAATCCCAAGTGCCACCGGCAAGGAAAAATGAAACTACTACACTCATTAAAACAACAAGTCCTAAAGTGACGTTCCCCCAGGGAACCTCTTTCCCTATTTCTAGATATGGCTTTTATCCTTCTGTCTACAGAGCTGTATGCGACTTCCTTTTTCCTTTAACGTTCTTCTTGATTTTAGTTCTAGAAAGAACCAGGAAGGTATATACTTGAAAGTACCTCAATACACAAACTGAGAGACTGGAATCCAAATATATTCCCTCAAGTGACACCCAGTTTTACTGCATAATGAATTGTGTGCCTGAGGTTAAGTCACCTGGTCGTCCTAGCTTCTCAGGAACATGCTGCCTGTGTGTAAAGTATTCTTTCAACACTGAAAAGGCAGCAACATTTTAGAAGAACAAGGTAAACACCCTATTTCATCAAAGCATAATAATTTTCAGTGACACAATAATGGGGGGGGGGAATTCATTGTCACTGTGAATTTGGAGAATTTCTAATTAGAAAGACTCTTTTGGTGAAGATTCCTGTTTAAAAAGTAGGCGTGACTCTGGATTCTATTGTAAAGACAATAATCTGGTTTCAAGCCAAATGTGGAGGGGGAAAAAAGTTCTTCTAAAACACAACAGAAACTCATAACGTACATCAACTATTCTTTTCTAACGGTGATATCTTTTTTTATTTGGATTGATTTACCCATCAAGCCCTGTGTCCAGCTGCATTCTGGAATCATACGAGTTTTGATCTGTTTGTTTAAACAACAGAAGACTGGGGAAAGAAATCACTCCAATTCTGTCACCATCTGGCAGAATGCTAGAACACAGGATATGGACAGAAAGAACTTGTGTAATTTCATTCTATGTACTGTTCAAATGTAGCAATTTGTATTTTATATACCTCGACCAAAGCCTAATGAGAACTTTACGAGCACATTGTGCTTGGAATGCAATGATGTGTTCTACTATGTGATTCTCCTAAAATAAAAAGGCAAAAAAGAAGCTTCGACTGGAAAAAACAGGGAGTGATGACTGCACAGCAAAAGAACTACTTCTCAGCTATCTCTCCATTTAAAAAGTAGCTGTAGGATACTCAGAATCTACAATGAACAATGTTTTTCAATGTGGCTCAAAAGGCCAATAAGGCAGTTTTAAATTTTTATTGTTGTGTGCTGTTGAGTCGCCTGTAGCGACCCTATGTACAACAGCCCTAAACCCTGCTCTATCCTGTGCCAATCGCACTGTCTCCAACACACCTATTCCCATCACTCAAGTCACTAAATCCATCCACCTCAAAGGGGGTCTTCCTCTCCTGCACTGTCCCTCCACCCTGCCAAGCATGACATCCTTCTCCAAGGACTGGCTCCTCCTTGCAGCGTGCCCAAAGTATGTCAGATGAATCTTTGCCTCTAAGGAGCAGCCTGGTTTAACCTTCTCCAGGCTGAACCTGTTTGTTTTCCTAGCAGTCCATGGCATGTATATTCAATACTCTTCTCCAGCACCACAGCTCAAACGTATCAATTCTCCTTCTATCCTCCCTAGTCATCATCCAACTCTCTGACGCATAGCAAGTGATTGCAAAGACCATGGCCTGTTATCAGGCGCACCTTAGTCTCCAGAGTGACACCACTGCTCTCCAGTACTTTGGAGAGGTCCCTAACAGCAGACTTCCCCATTGCAATACAGAATAGGAATTTTCAGAAGGGAAGAGAAGGGCCAACAGATGGGGACTTCAGCAACCTCCTCCCCGCAGGAAAATACGACCCACAGGCCTAGCAGGTCAAGGTGGCGCTGTAAACCGTCGGGCACATGTGGAAGGTGCAGAATAAGAACTTTTACAGTTTTACATGAGATGCCTTTAAAAATCAAATTGAGAACATACACATTTAGATGACAACAATCCACAAAGGTGAGGGGGAATTGCCGTTTTACAATATGAAGAACCATTGTGTACCAATGAAGGAGTTTTTCTTTTGCTTTTCAACGAGAGGAGCGAACTGAGGGTGGGGGTAGGGGTGAGTGGGTGGGGAGAAAAGTGCAACAATGAATGAATGGAATTCCAAAATCTCTGTAGATGTTCACTGAAATGAATAATAATAGTAATAATAAAAAGAAAAAATATGAAGAACTAATTTTTTTTTGTCTAGTTAAATTAGTGTGAAAATCTTAGAAAGATAAATCATAAAAAAAGTGTTCTGGGAAGTGGCACTTAGAAACAAATTTAAATCCACTGAAAAACAAACCTACCATCAACAGCAAAGGGCATTACCACAATCCAACTGACTTTAACACAGATTGTAGCAAAACAGATTAAATTCATTACTAAAGCTCAACCCTGTTTTGACTTCAGTTCAACTGTCATGGTTGGTTAGAAGACCCAACCTGCTGGGCAGGCTTCTCCTTTCTGCCTGCCTAAAGAAAACCAATACCAGGATCTCCTGGCTTTTGGAATCACTCTATATTGCTTTGCTTTTATGAAAGATCCACACTGGTACCTGTTTGTGCCAATATAAATACAAAGAAGTCTGAAAAAGTTTCCCCTTCCCTACTACCAATGATGGAAAAAACCCTAGAACCAGCTTTCAGTGACGGTTTTGCAGAAAGAGGCGGCAGCGAGAGGAGCCCAGCCACGCTCCTTCCCCGGGACCTATACTCCGCATCTAGCACCAGACCGTCCGCCGTAGAAAGCTCTGAGTTGTATCTGTAAGCAGGCACTGTTAGTGTTATTTGTTATGAACAGAATAGGTACTTTACTTATTTGGATTCTGGGAGCACTCAAAAATTTTCCCCACATAAATGAATGGCAATTGCTTCTTCCTCTTCACAGGAACATTCTGTGTTTGGTCTAGTGAAGGAAACCTGTATCTGAATTCTCTGTCATTCTAAGGGGAAGTATTTGCAATTAAATGCCATAGATTATTACAGAAGCAGGCCTTTTTTTCTATTTGTTGGTTGGAGACTATAAAAGTTCAAAGAAACCATATCATTAGAATCCTTTTTGCACCAGGTGTCAGTTTTGGAAACCAGTAAAAATATTCCACAAGGATAAGTTAGCAAATGTGGAATCATCTTTCCATCTCTGCTCATTTCTTTTTTTTTTTTTACTTGTGCACAAGAGGAGACCGCCCCTCCTTCTTCAGCAGAACAGCCGGTGAATTTGAACTGTGAGCCTTCGGGATTGCTCTCTGCTCATTTCTAAAGCATACTCAAACAAATTTCCACATCTTCACACGAAAGGCTGATGGCATTATTGGACCTCAAAATACTCATGCTCAAGAGAGTGGGTAGTTTCCACTATTTCTCACATTAAGGTTCTGTTTGGGGTTTTTTGGGGGGGGGATGGGGTTTGGTGTGTTTTTGGTTTTTGTGTTTTTTTTTTTAAATACACGTGGCCTTTGTATCTTTCAGACTTGGGGGAGGAAAACAAGGCAGCCTGTCACTGCCATTTCAATGTGTATAAAAGTCAGGTGATGAGGGTCTCTGTCATTTTCTCTTAATCCAATTCCAAACTCGACCTTTACCCAGCGAACAGGTGTGTGCTATGTCTGTAATTTATCAGAGTGAGCGGCCAGGCAGAAAAGCTACCAACAATAGGGGGCTGATGGAGCCCAAGCTCTTAGTGCCCAGAACGCAGTTCTTATCCCCGCCATGATGAATACACTTTTATCTCCCAGTAGCAATTTAAAGATAAAGAATGATGGGGGTGAGGGGAGGAACACAGTCATGTTCCTTCAGCTTCTTGGATTCTGTTTTCATCCTAATAGTCTGCCAGAAGCTGTTATGTTTCAAATTCCTTTCATAAGATTACTCTGTTGCTCACATTCCAGTCCAAACCATGATATGGATATGAAAATAGTCATGACAGGATTTCCACTCGGGCAGATAAAGTCACTTCACACAAATTAAATAAATCTTCAAGAAGTGAATGATAAATGAATATGGCATTTCTTTGTATGCAGCAGGAAACACCATTCTGTAAACTGCAACTGTCTTTTTGGATCAACCCTAGCGAGTTAAAAATATGCCAGGTATCCATTTTACTAAGTATTAGTACATGCCAATTAGGCGACGCAACAGCACAATAAAAAGGAGGCATAGTTCACATTAGAACAATGCCACCGTCTAATAGATAGTGGCTTTTCAGCCGGGTAAATCTGCCTTGCATGGACCTTCAAAGCCCGTTGAAATTTCTAAAAAGTTTCACAGAAAAACATTCTAAATAATAAACAGAACAGGAGATCCACAAATAGCCTATAATTTTTCCACCATAAACTTAAAACTATTTAAAGTTGTAGTACTTTTAAGGTTCTTCTGAAAACTTATTAAAAAAAAACAACACGTGACATTAAGCAAAAAAAATATTTTTGCATTTTAAAAAATAATTTCAAAGTATTATTTAAAAAAAGTTTTTTGTCATAGTTGTTTCTATTTTTTAACAACACAAATTTTCCTTTTGAAACTCACCCATCTGCTCCACAATCTCGGGAGGAAATACTCGGGAAGCGAACGCTCGTCGGAATATATCGGAAAATTCCTTGTCCAGGCCTCCTATGCCCATTTTCTCAAAGTTCCAGTCAGGATTGATGATAGACTGACGGTTTTCCTTGGTTTTAGCTTTGCCTGTAAATCAAAGTGAAACACAAACTTCATCAGTAAGTGTAAAAGGACAGAATTTGCTGGGCATCCCAACAATTGAAGAGCGGCTGCCCAAGTAGAAAGATGAAGAAGGTGCCCTTCGCTGACTGTCGAGGAAGGGAGAGTTCTGCTGTGCTACCCACTTTGTCTGGTTCCTATCTGTGGTCAGCACTGCATTTTCAAGACGAGTTCATTTAGGCTGTAGTCCATTTGTAATTAACCCACAGAACCTGGTTTAACAAACCTTTAATTCTTTAAGTTAATGAATTCACTTGTTTAGAAGAAACACCAAGTGTGTATCTAATTGCCAGAACTGGAACTGAAACACAGTAATTTCTCAAGAGTCCGAAAACAAGTGCATTTAAAAGCACATATATTTATCTAGACTAAGTTTTATAATTGGATATATATATATATATATATATATATATATAAATAATGTCTCAGACTGAGGAGAGAGATGGGATAAATTTGATTTTAACTTGATTTCTTTTTTAAAAAACACACTCTTCTTTAAATTTGTACACAAATGTCTACAATAATTCTAAATATTTTGGTATTTATAAAATTCTTACAAATTTTTTTCACAAGACAAAAATGATGTAACTTTAATATCAAGAGTACCACCTAAAGGCACTCCAGAGAATTACACTAACTTTATCAAACAAAAAGAATAAAGGATCTTACTACTTACTGTAAACAAATAAAAAAGTAATTTTATAGCTTTTTTAAAAAGTCAGTGAAGAAAAGTCACACTGGGAATAGTTTATAGTAGATGGCTAATTTTATGGTTGGGGTTTTGCAGACCAAAATTTTCTTTATGAAGCTGGAATAGTTTATTTTTTCTTATACTTTACTGCCCTCTTGTGGTAAAGTCGATGTTCTGCAAAAAAACTCTCACAATATGCACACCCATGTTTATTGCAGCTTTGTTCACAATAGCAAGGAGTTGGAAACAACCTAAGTGCCCATCAACAAACGAATGGCTAGAGAAGCTGTGGTATATTCGCACAATGGAATACTATGCTGCATTAAAAAACAAGGAACTCATGCAATATTATTCAAAATGGTTGACTCTGGAGAACATTATGCTGAGTGAAATATCCCAGTCACAAAAGGACAAGTATTACATGATGCCACTGTTGTAGAATGGGACTGTCCTTGGGGTTGGGGAGAGACTGAGTAAGATGGGTTCAATAATGTATACTGCACTGAAACAGAGGAGGGAGAAAACTGTTTAAAAGAGATATATGACTAGGTACTTCTGTCATCACAGGAGTCTAGAGCGAGGGCTACATGGTGGAGGGGACCTGGGGGAGGGTTTGTAAAACAATGAAAGAATCCTTTCTTTTACTTTTCCATTAAAAAAAAAAAAGAGTGTTGACTATACACACACACACACACACACACACACACACAAAAACAACAACAACAAAAAAACAAAACAAAACTCTAACAAAATCTCATTTCCATGAGTTGTTGGAATGGCTTCCAGATATTTTTGCAGTCAAATGGCATGAGAGTGTTCAAATAATTTTATTTCCAATTAAAAAGGAAATCCTTGACATAATTTTTTATGTTTACATGTACAGTTCCCTTTAGAAAATATACTACAGGAGGAGTAAAAAGAAAATAAAATAGGGGGAAAATTCCTCCAGAAAGATCTTGTTTTATTTATAACTGGAGAGTCTGTATCTATAAGACAAGGCCTGCCATAGAGTCGATTCCTTTTCATGGTGACCGTACAGGGCAGACCTGAAGTGGCCCACAGGTTTTCCCGGCTGTCCATCATTATGGGAACAAGCTGCCTTACCATTCTTTCCTGCTAGGGACCAGCGGATGGGGTGGTTGTTGTTGTTGTTGTTATGTGCCATCGAGTCACTTGTGACTCATAGCGACCCTATGTACAAGAGCTCTAAATGCTGTTCTATCCTGTGCCAACCTAGCCATCTCAAACGCACTTATTCCCACCGTTCCAGTCACAGAATCGATCCATCTCACCAAAGGTCTTCCTCTCCTTCGCCTCGCCTCCACTCTGCCAAACATGATGTCCCTCTCCAAGGACCAGTCCCTCCTTGCAACATGTCCAAAATATGTCAGACGAAGCTTCAGAATCCTTGACTCCCGGGAACACTCTGGCTTCACCCTCTCCAGGACAAACCTGTTTGTTCTCCTAGCAGTCCATGGTATATTCAACACTCTTCTCCAGCACCACATCTCAAAGGCATCAATCCTCTTTCTATCATCCCTATTCACTGTCCAACTCTCTGATGCATAGCACATAATTGCGAAGACTATAGCCTGGATCAGGCGCACCTTAGTCTCCAGCCTGACATCGTTGCTCTTCAGTACTCTTGAGAGGTCCCTCACAGCTGACTTTCCCAATGCAATTAGTTTCCTGATTTCCTGGCTGCTGTTACCAAGAGTGTTGACTGTGGAGACAAGTAGATTAAAACTGTTAACTATCTCAATCTCTTCACCATCCATGCTGATGCTGCCAAATGGCCCAGTGGGTAGAATCTTTTCTTGACATTTAGCTTCAGTTAATATAGGAAGCTGTAGTCCTTGATTTTGTGCAGCAAGCGCCTCAGGTCCTCCTCAGTTTCAGCAAGCAGGGTTGTGTCATCTGCATAACGCAGGTTGTTGATGATTCTTCCACCAATCCTGATGCCACATTGCTCTTCATATAGCCCAGTGTCTCGGCTGATTTGTTCTGCATACAGATTGAAAAGGTATGGAGACAGAATACATCCCTGACAAACCCCCTTCTTGACCAGCGGATGGGGTAGAGCTGCCATTTCTTTGGTTAGCAACTGAACTCTTTAATCACTGCACATCCAGGCTCTTTTGATGAGACTATAACTAGTATTTTATTTTCATCCTTTCACTTTTTATATTTTATGAAGTATTTTTTTTTACCACAACTAAAAAAAACAGTAAGTCATAATCATTTATTTTTACATTGGAGAGAGGCACACACACACACAAAGAACGTGACATACTCTTGGATACAATGGTGAAAACAACCCAGGAAAACCCTCTATTGGCTGCTGGGGTAGACCTCTGCACAGCTCTGCCAAGCAAAAATGAGAATGACCAGACAGCTGAAGACATTGTTATTCTGATAAGCTGCTATTCTTAGAGACCAGCCTGTGTTATTTTTATGTAAGCAATCAGGGCCAAATAGTAAGAGACTGAATCCTGAATCTGTTTGGGAAAATGCTATCGGAGCACGCCTCACTCAACTCAGTCACTAATAGATGTGGTGCTGGGTTTTGGGGTTTTTTTTTAATTTATTTTTTATTTTTTTGTTTAATAGAACCATCTGGGAAGTCTAAAAACTAACTGATCAGTTCTCAATGTCATGAAAGACAAAATCCAAGGAAATGTCAGAGACTGAAGATGACTGAAAAAGGACCTGACAAGCACATGCAAGGTGGGAGAGATTCTGAACGAGAGCCTGGAGGAGGAAGAGTGGCCACAACTTGGCAGCGCCAACAAAGCCTGCAGCTTAGTTAGAAGCAAGGTAACAACGCGAGCCCCGCGGCCTAACGCCTGCACGAGGGTGAGGCAAGGCGTTAACAGCAGGGCAGTCGGGGAGGACACGGAGGAATTCTCACTACTTCTACAACTCTTCTGCAAGCCTAAACTTATACAATTTTTAAATAATAATTTTGTGTTTCTTTTTTACTTACTTTAAATGTGGTTACCTGGAAATTAAAAAATGACTTGTGTGGCTCTCCCAATATGGCTCCTGGACAACAGTGATCTAGATGAAACTTCTGACCATTTTCAGCACAACTGACAGAGAGTAACACCCAGAGGTTTCTACAAATCCTGCCAGGCACATGTCCCTTCTCCTCCCCCACTTAAAAAGTTACCCTCATTGAGTCACTTTAACACAGAAAGTCAGTCCTATGTCAGCCAGAATCTTCTAAAAAAAAACTAGGATCTTACCAATAAGATTGAGTGAAGAATTTTCTGCTTTTTCAAATGCAACTTGACTGTTTCCAACGACGAGGCCTACTTCAATCTGGATAGAGAGAGGGTGGGTTAGTCCAATGGCAGATCTCTGGGCTTCCTTAAATGAGGCTAAGAGTCAGGGAGGAAGTCTCTCTCTGTAAAGCAGACGTTCCTACCTAGCATCTCAGCTCCACTTTCTTCTCTCCACACATGTTCTTGCCCCTACTTTATTATGCTGTTTCTTCAATAATGCCTTTCTCACCATTTGGGTAAGGATCTCCAAGCACTATTACAATAAATGGTATCTTCTATTCAATCATGATTACACACATATATATGTAAATGTCACAAGTGCTCTTAATAAATGTATTTTAACAATTATACTTTTTTTTAAAAAAAGCAGTATTTTCTTCCTATTATCTTAAAGGAAACGATACATAATGAAAGAATTCCATGGATAATAGCTAGGAAAATGATGTTGATCACATAATTCCATCATAAAGAAGACTTCCAAGATAAGGAACCAATCATACCTTCTGTCTTTTACCTGTCGCAGGTTCCCCCTTGAGGATGCTGGGGTCCATGGCTTCAATGTCCTTCACCAGTAAACCAAAAAGCTTTTCATTGAAGCTGAACACAAGCTATGAGGAAAAAAGGCAAGGGAAGAAAAATCATCTCATGCTATAAAGTCTTGATTCTTCTATCATCACAAATGTTTTTTAAATGCAGAAAGCAGCTTTCTTCTGTCTAGTTCCACAGGTAATACACATACATAGCCAATCAGAGGACCAGGAGCTAATATCTGAATACTTGCAAATAGCAAACAATGAATAAGGATGAGAGAAGCAGCATCAACGCCTCTGAGCAGTGGTAGTTAAGAGGAGAACTGAATATTCCATGGTCTGACAAAAGAACCAACAGATGTGTCTTGGGAAAAGTGCAGCCAGAGTGCTCCTTGGCGGCAAGGATGGCAAAGCTTCATCTCATACAAGGGCAAGTTGTTAGGAGAGGCCATTCCCTGGAGAGGGCCATCGTGTTTGGAAATGTGGAGGGTCAGCAAAAGAAGACTCTCAAAGACATGGACTGACACAGTGTCTATAGGAATGGGCTCAGGTATGTCAGATGATGAGGATGGCACAGGACGGGGTTCCGGTCTGTTGTTCATAAGGTCTTTATGAGTCATACTCAACTCAATGATACCTTACAACAACAACAAGATCAAACAAGACAGCAGGTGTGTATGTATATAAGCTTTCTTATTTAAAATTCACAATTGCTCTGGGAAACTAAAGTCACACTCAGTTTTCCTAATGAGAAAGCTGAAAGCAGGGAGGGGTCCAGCTTCACAGTAAATGGTAGCTCCAAGCTCCAAGCCTGGGTTTGTGTTAGAAACGCCATGCTCTTCTACCTCCAGGACAAAGCGCCTGCCCTCCAGGTATAGAGGCAGCTTCGGAATGCTCAACCATTCCTCCGCCAACCATTTACTGAATTCCACAAGAGCCGGGCCCTTCTCTGCAAGCTGAAGATGTAAGAGGAAAGGTGACAGGAGAAGCTGATGACTAACTCCTAGCAAACAACCTCCACAGCCGCCCGCGCCCACTCTAATGTGGGGCGACCTGCTGGGCCTTGCATCAGGGTCCTCTAAGCACCGTGTCGCTGTGGGGGGTGTGTGCTGCCAAGTCAATTCTGACGCCCAGCAGCCCTCTGTGGCAGGGCAGAGCTGCTTCCCGGGAATTCCTCAGCTGTGATCGTGATGGGGCAACATCACCAGGGCTTTTCTCCCGTCGAGCGGCTGGTGGGTTCCAATCACCGACCCTTCGGTTAACATCGCGGGCTTGACTGTTATTGTGCAGCAAGGGCTCCTTTTAACTGCAATACGAGGACTCCCGTAATCCAGCTCCAGCGCACATCACACAGACACACAGTAAACACTGAATCCTCTTCCTACCTACCCATAATTTAGTTTCCACTTATAAAAGTTTAATATTAATGCATGGCTCGTCCAGATCTTTAGAGTCTAGACTGGAGAATGACAGTGGTTCCGGTAACTCTTCCCTTTTACAGCTTCTCTCATTTACCATCTTACATAACTTTCCACATGACAGAGTAAAGAACAGTCTAGACACCTAATCAGAGATCATCTATTGAACATTTGGTGTCAGGCTCCCTGAGTTTTCAGGACTTTAAAACACTTTTTTAATATGGTTTACATCTACTGACACAGCCATATGAGAAATTAGAACAAAAACTTGCAAAAAGAAAGAAGTCATTCCTTAAGTCATTGAAAATCACAGCAAGAAATGTGTTAGCAGAAAATAACATATTTCACTTAATAAAAGACCAAATCCTCTATTTTCCAAAACAAACAAACAAACAAACAAAAAGTTAAGTGAGAAGAGGAGCACTGTTTAACATTCTGACAAATCTCATCAGTGTCTGGTTTACTGGAAGGCAGCGGCAAGCACACGTTGGCTCCAGCAGTCACACCGTGCACATGAGTCCTTTCTGCAAAACTCCACTGTGCACTCATAAAAGAAAAAAAGACTCAAAACGTCTTGGTGTTACTATGATAATGTTTTGGCGTTACTCTAGTTTTATGTCAGGCTCTCTGAAAGAGCCCCACAAACCCCAGGACTCTTCTAGGCCTTATCCGGACTCTGCAGTTACGGCATCACAGAGTCAGGGTTTCAGGAATGATTAAGAAAAGTCACAAATGAGCAGTGCACCAGTGTGGCCTAGTAGCAAGAAGCTGCACTGCAATCCTGAAGGCATTTGGTTCAAATCCACCAGCTGCTCCATGGGAAAAGAACGGGCCATCTCCTGTGCATTTAACTGTCTCTGAAAACCCATCAGATGTTCAGATGTGGGTCAGTTCTGACTCAATGGTACACAAGAAAAGTCACAATTGAGGAGACAAATGTGACAGTAAAGTCACAAGAACAGAACACTGTCGCTTTAAGTGTACGTGCAGATAAATTACAGTTTCTAAATGAACACCTTTCTTTTTTTCCAAATAAAACTCTTTCTTCCTTTAATTCTAAAAATAAAATACCAAAGTCCAAAGAGAGAAAACATTAGTATATATAATTTTAAAGAGGAAAAATTTGAAAAATACATAATTTTCTAAAGATTATGAAAGAGCTCCACATCCTAGAAAAGTTAAAAACCGTATCACTGAAAGAAAAAGACACCCCAGACAAAAATAACTAAGAAACTTCAGCTATCTAAGTCTGCAACATTCTCAAATTTTCAAGGGCAAAAATGACTTTTATCTTTTACTATATCTGACTTTGTAACATAAAAGTCATTTTAGGCCTTCCCTTCATATTTTAAGTAGGGAGGTCCATCCCTGTGGGAAAGTAACTTTCTAATAAATCTTTTATTATTTTATTTTTTTAAAGAAGTCATTTTAGGTTTCTTGGGTTTGAACAGGCCTTTTCTTAACCAAAGCAAGGACCCACTTTTTTTTTCCTGTGTAAGATTCTGCTGAAGATCATCCAAAAACGATTAGAACAGCACATCAGCAGAGAACTGCCGGAAGTCCAGGCTGGGTTTAGAAGGGGTCGTGGTACTAGGGATATCGTTGCTGATGTTAGATGGATCTTGGCTGAAAGCAGGGAATACCAGAAGAATGTCTATCTGTGTTTCATTGATTATGCAAAGGCATTTGACTGTGTGGATCATAACAAACTGTGGCTGACTCTGAGAAGAATGGGAATCCCAGAACATTTAATTGTGCTAATACAAAACCTATACTTGGACCAAGAGGCAGTAGTCAGAACAGAGCAGGGTGACACTGCATGGTTCAAAATAGGGAAGGGTGTACGCCAGGGATGCATCCTGTCTCCATACCTTTTCAACATGTATGCAGAGCAGATTATCCGAGAGGCTGGGCTCTATGAGGAGAATTGTGGCATCAGGATTGGTGGAAGATCTATCAACAATCTCCGTTATGCAGATGACACAACCTTGCTTGCTGAAACTGAGGAGGACCTCATGCACTTGCTGCGAAGGGTCAAGGACTGCAGCCTTCAGTATGGACTAAGGCTCAATGTCAAGAAGACAAAGATTCTCGCCACTGGACCAATTGGCAGCGTCAGGATGGATGATGAAGAGATTGAGAGTGTTCACAGCTTCACTTTGCTCGGCTCCACAGTTAACACTCTTGGTTACCAGCAGTCAGGAAATCAAAAAGCGTATCGCGATGGGAAAGTCTGCTGTTAGGGACGTCTCAAAGGTACTCAGGAGCAACAGTGTCTCTCTGGAGACTAAGGTGCGCCTGATACAGGTCATGGTATTTGCAATCGCTTGTTATGCATCAGAGAGTTGGACAATGACTAGGGAGGACAGAAGGAGAGTGGATGCTTTTAAGCTGTGGTTCTGGAGAAGGGTACTGAATGTACCCTGGACTGCCAGGAAAACAAACAGATCCATCTTGGAGAGGATTAAACCAAGCTGCTCCTTGGAGGCAAGGATTCTGGGGCTTCGTCTGACATACTTTGGACATGTTGCCAGGAGGGACAGGTCCTTGGAGAGGGACATCATGCTTGGGAGGGTGGAGGGACAGCGCAGGAGGGGAAGACCCTCTATGAGATGGATTGATTTGGTGACTGGGGTAATCGGGATGGGTGTGTCAGAGGCGGTGCGGTTGGCGCAAGGTTTAGAGCTGTTGTGCATAGGGTCGCTATGAGTCGGAAACGATTCGATGGCACATAACAACAACAACAAGGGACAGAAAGCTTTAAGAAAGGACAGAGCACTGAAAAGAGAAGGAAACAAGGATACAAGCTCCCTAGTGAACGGATACAAGCTCCCTCATAATGGACACAGGCTCCTAGCAAATGGATACAAGCTTCCTAATGAATGGGCTCTTGGAGAGCAGAGCGAGTCGACTGTCTCTCAATTTCCATTGCATCTTAGATGTGCACGTTCGCATACATTCAATTTCAAAACACAGAACTGAATTTGGAGCCCCAAAAAGTTCTGGACACCTAAAGAGTGAAAGGAATGAAAGGAAATTTGACACTACCTGTTGTCCCACGGAGAAAGCCTGGTTGTTGAACTGCTGAATAAACTCTGCAGCCATCTTGTCGGTATCATATGGGTTGGAGTCGATGTTTTTTTTCTGCAGGAAATCAATCTCGATGGTCATGGTGCCAATGCATTGCTTGGCCTTGTCAAATGTGTATAAGGAGACTAGAAAAGAGAGAGAGGTGTTTTTAAAGAAATCACAGGGACACCAAATACTGGCTGTGCTTGAAAATAACTGGAAGTTTCACAAAAATGAATTATGGCAGGACTGGACCAGAAGGGAGCTTTATGTGACCTTCATTATCAAGGCACAAAGGCACATAATAAAAAAAAAAATAAGAAAAATTCCATTAGATATTTTCTTCCCTGTCTTCACCAAAACTGGAACAGACTAGAAGAGTACTCTCTCTACTAAATTACAAGGAAAAAGTCCAAGGTGATTTTTGCATTTGAGTTTCCGTAACAGGACTCCTTTATTACACCCAGTAAACAAGAGTCTATCACTGCTCTTCAATATGGCCAGATGCACTGATGCTTTTCTTCTGTTCCCTGAAGATCTCTGTCCCACAACTTATTGATGGTCCCTAAAAAGCACAGAAAGCCCTTTAGGGACCACATCTATTAACTCACTCACCAGGGTAAAAGACAAACGGCAGCTTGCCTGTGGCTTGTCCAATGTTCAGCACCACTGGCACTGCTGTTCACAGTGTGTCAACTACACTTATTCCTTAATTAGCTACGACAGTGATAGAAGTTAGACAATCTAGTTAACTGCCATAAAAACTTGAAATTTTAGGGAGCTCTGGTGGCCTAGTGGCAAGAAGCTGCACTGCAATCCCAGAGGTATGCGGTTCAAATCCACCAGATGCTCTGCTGAAGAAGGAAGGGAGATCTCCTCCTGTACCAGTCAGATCCAATTTGACGGTACACACACACATAAATAAATAAATATTTAAAAACTTGAAATTTTAGCAGTCTAGAATTGACTTCAGCATAGCTAAGTTAAGAACTTTGGGGAAACGTGAAAAGGGAAAAATTTGTTCTTAAAATCACGGTTAATTGGATCTGAGGAATGGGGGGGGGGGAATCAAGGAGAAAATCCAGAAGTATCCTGAAATTTCATATGCCACACGGGGATCTAACTTTTGTTCCATTTCAAAGAAACCTATATGGAGAAAGAGAAGCAAGCCAATACGGAACTGTAATCTGTAGTCAAAAAGAAAAGGTCTTTAACCAACTTAAAAATTACCTACCTACCTACCAGTCCCAGTCACACTGGACAAGGAAGCTTCTACAGTTCTCTCAAAAGTAGGTAACATTAAAGATTGGTTCTTCACATTGTGATTGTGTGTTCCTGTGGTCAAGTAGCAAGCAAACAGTTAAATAAGAGTCACTGCACTGGAGCGGTGACTTGATCGATCATCTACTTTCACTGAACTGTTAACTGCTAAGTGTCTGATGGCTTGCAAAGTTATTATCTTCAAGAGAACTTTGGAGAGTGTGTATTTCAATAGACCCAACTACTAACTAGAAGAACCTAATTTAAGTAAATAATTTAAGTTCTCTGTGCCTCTTCCCACATCTATAAAACAATGAGGCTGGACTAGATTTTCAGAGTACTTTTCAAGTCTAAATTCTGATCTAAAATTATTTGCTATACTCTGGCCACTTTTTCTTTTCTTCTTTTTTTTTTTTTAACAGGGGAGAGCGCGAACGCAGTCCCCCACTACCACAAATTATGCAGTCGAGTTTCCCACATTTGGGGAAATCGCAGGGGTCAGCACATCTGGAGTGCAATGGATAAGCCTCGCCCTGGGAAGACCACCTTCGTGATCATGGTATCTCCCCTGCCAGGTAAGTATCTGGCCACTTTTTAAAAAAAATTCTTGTAAATTATTGGAAGACTTTTAAACTTTTTTCCTTACCATAAAGGAGGATACATGTATTTTAAAGATAAACATTTTCTAAAACAAATTAGCAAAGAAAGCTGAAGTAGGAGTCAGAAGATGTACTGAAGAGCAAAGATGAAGTTCAAATCTCAGCTGAAATGTTCAGAGTATTCTCTTGTCTCCATATATGCATGTTTTGCTCTTTCTTATAATTTTCTAGAAAGCACAAGTCATAAGCTAAGTGACTTCCTCAGGCAAGAGAGCTTAATTTTCTTCTCCCATGATGAAGACAGCTTACAGGTTAAAATATTAACGTAAAAACAATCCAGTAATACAATTTTGAGGTGTCCTTATTCCATAAAAAACATTGAGCATTCCCCTACAGAGGGAACTATAAAGAGGCTTACTGTAGTATTTGAAATAGTAAAAAAATGGGAAAAAAAAATCTGTTGATCAGAAGGGGAATAGTGACTATGATGTATTATGTCCATTGTAGAATAATAAATGGCAAATAAAACAAAAGTCTGATGTATATTTAATAAAGATGGATGGTTCATGAACACATAACAGAGTGAAAAAAGCATACTGCAGATAACTGTATAGAATGATACAAGTATAGGCATTAAAAACTAAAATACTACTATATTCTTATAACATAAATATGCACATACACACATGAATAAACACTGTCTGTATATTATCCTTATACCAGTAAGTCTGAATAAGGATATTAAAATACGATAATTACTGATCATAGTTTTTCAAATGTTTCTAAATAGAAACAACGAAGCTATTACAATTTCAAATACTATGGGCAGCACCATGGACAGCACCACATCAGCACCATGGTCAGCTCCACAGGCAGTCCCTAAAGGGAGACGTGCCCTGAAGATCTCCTCAAGGTACCAGAGCAAAGAAAGTTAAAGGTGTTTCCTTATTTTACATCTAATAGTAATTTAAAGTCACAAATAAGAATTTTTTAAAAAAATTAATAAGTAAAAAGTGAGTTTTATCCCAAGCTGTTAGATATTACAATGATAGATTGATAATGGCCAAGAATACATTAACTGATAATATGCAGTACTTAAAACGCGGCCATGTCAGGTGAAGAGAAGACAGACTAAACGGACTTGACTGAGAAAGCCTCATTGTACAGACAGAACTCCAGAGTCTTTAACATCGCATTCTCGTTCAGTTGCACTTGGCCGACATCACTATTTACACTGCGTCAGCCTCCTAGCTTCAAGGCCACACATCATCCACATCACCCAGCCTTGAAAACCCTTCCCAGCTCACGAGCACTCCACCTTACCTCCGACCAAACCAATCATATGGTTTTAGAACTGTGTCCATTAAGTCATCTCTTCTAAGGTTTTCATAAGAATTTCTAGAAAATGGAGTGTTTTAATAACCTAATTTAAGCCACAAAATAAGTTTTTTGACTCAAGATTTGATAACCTTGACCTTTTATACCTTTTTACAGAAAGAAAAATACATTAAATTTTAAACTTTAAGCACCTTCTAAAGGAAACCGGAAACATAAGCTATATATAAACAAACTTTCTCATTAGCTTTCACAGTTGTTCATTGTAATCACCTCCCAAGACTGAGAAAGCCCAGAGTCCCCTTCTTTTCTCCTCTCTAAAATGAGGGTGCTGCACCAGATCTTCATGTTCTCTACTGACCTACTTCAGTCTGGTGTCAAATTCTTCCACTGTCAACTTCTCACTCACCTACAGGTGAGGAGGTGACAATTAGGGGTGTCATTTGCCAGTGTTCTCCAAAACATATCTGGAAACAAGGATTACTTAAGTGTGACTATTAATGACTGGAAGTCTTTCTGAGTGCAAGGGTATAGGAAGGGAAAATATAGAACTTCTAAAGGGGGAATAAAAGACCATGAAAATATCACTTATCAGAATCTATGTTAGTGTAAGTGATTAGAGAAAAATTCTTAGCTTTGAGTACCTCTATCAATAAAAACTTAAACTAAATGCTATTAGGAAATGTTGTTATGTGCCATCAAGTCAGAACTGACTTATAGCTGACCCTCCAGTGGGATTTTAGAGGCTATAAATAGCACAGGAGGAGACTGTGTACCTTTCTCCTGTGGATTTGAACCTTGTGCCTTTGTTTTGGAAGTGCAATTCTTTACCACTGGACTACCAGAACTCCTAGGTGATAATTAGGAGCGCTGGTGGTCTATTGGCACCAAAAATGGAGATAACTGGGACAATTAACAAGACAAGAGTATGAGCCATAATAGTACCAGTTAATGGAATTTGGTAATTATAAAAGGAATTCTGATGGCCTAGTGGGAAGGAGTTGTGCTACGAACCGGAAAGTCCACAGCTAGAATCCACCAGCTGCTGCACGGGAGAAAGACGGACAGTCTCCTCCTGTGCGATTTACTGCTTTTGAAAACCTGCTGGAAGGTCAGTTACGGGTCGGTCCCAACTCGAAGGTACATAACAACAACAAAGAGCCCATCTCTGGTATCAGGAAAAATACACTAAACTATTAGAAAAAGCAGGATTTCTACAATTTGATTCAGGGGGAAAAACATTTCTGCAAATGATTCAGGGGAAAGAAAAAGAAATTCATATATGTGTATGTTACTAATGTCTGTATGTGTATATATGCATTAAAAATAAGTAAGAAAAAAAAATAAGTAAGAAGACAATTTGTATTTGTGTAAATTAGAATCTAGGTAAAGTAGAATCTAGGTAAAGTAGTATATGAGAATTCTCTGTATTATTCTTAAACCCTTTTCTAAATATGAAATTATTCTTTTTGAGTCCAACAGCAAGGAGGAAATCAATCGGCTTTTTTACAACTGCATTTTCTTTTCTTTGGCTACTGTGCCATAAAGTGATCTGAGAGATTGATGTTCCACGTGTCCCAACTCTGCAGCACTGCCTAAGAATGATGCCAGTTTTCTCTCACGAGGACTGGCTTACCACCCACAGTCCAATTATAATACACTTTGGCTCAGTCATTCCCCTCCTGAAGACAAATTTCTTTCCTTGACCTTCCCTAATAAACACGATAACTTCAAAACATGTGAGGAAATTTTATTGCTTACATATTGCTATCTTTTTTTCTCCTCCTTAACTAAAATGCCCCTTCTACAAATTTGACTTCTATTTCCTAGACAAGCACAAAAGAAAATATGCCTCAGTATGGACTACAATGGAATTACCAAGTAGTGTAATATTAATTACTCCTCTTCAACAAATCCTTGACTATTTTTCAAATTCTTGTGACCATAATTTTTACAAAATCCTATTTGACTTAATGCTCACTTGCTCACTCATTGCCATCAAGTTAGAACCAACACATAGCTGACTCTTCAGTGAGTTTTCAGAGGCTGTAAATCATACGGGAGGAGACTGACCACCTCTCCCTCAAAGAGCAGCTGGTGGATTGGAAACACACACCTTTCCCTAAACTGCAGACTAGTCAAATAACTTCCAAACTATATTCCTTAACTTTGACTTTTTCCATTCCTTACTTTGCTATACAATAAAATTAAAATCCTTTTCTAAATGTAGGGTTTTGGTAGGATCATCCTGAAATCCTCAAGAGCTCTCCATTGTCTTTGTATGAAACTCATTTTTAGTATGTCTTCCACTAAGACATTACTTAATGTAACCGATTCAGATCTCATGATCTGATGCAACTCACTCATATCATTCCTCTCTACTAGGTAAGTATACTTCCTGAGTACCACTTAGGATTTGCTGGCTCCCATCCCTATGCTTTCATTTCTATTATTTCTCATCTTGAAAGGATTCCTCTCTTATCTTTACCAAGTAATGCTGTCTTCCTACTTCATAAACATGATAAAAACTCCAGCCACAGAAAGATTTCTGTCTGCTTTTTTCTCATCTCCAATCACTCAAAACTCTTACTGGACTCCTACACACAGTGCTTAATGGAAAACCTTTAGGCACATATATTCCTTGTATAATTCTGTGAGCTAGGAATATGCTTTTCAACATCGTCATTTCCAGGCAGAGAGGCAGGCAGATAAAGAAGTAAGGACACGGGTCCCCTAACTGAGTCCTTTCCATTTTCATAGATCTAAGTTGTAATCTGACTGGAATAAGCCTTTAAGACCCTGTAACAAAAAATAAAATATTGTACATGTCTTAGTAAATGCATAAAAGTTCCAAAGAAAAGTCTACTTCAGATAGCTAAAAATTACACTTACCATCTATTTCTTGTCCAATAGAAAGTCCAGCCCATTTTCGCTATAAAAGAGAAAAGACACTCAAAATCAAATCAATCAAAGTAGAGAAATGAGGGGGGGAAATTATATTAATTTAAAAGATCAGAAATATTATATACTATAATATGGATTTAAACATCTGTCTTCACCCAAAAAATTCCTTTTAATTGTGATTTTTAGTTAAAGTTTACAAAGAGCATACTTTTCATTCATTCATTCATACACATTTTCCTTCCTCCCTCTCTCCCAATTCACTTTGTAACGCTTGTTCTGTTCCAGTTTTTAACTGACTTACATATATGTCTAATTGTCCACTCCTTTCAGACTGTCCTTCTCTTGACCTATTCCAGTGCAGTGATCATTATCTAGCCATTCCTTTCCTGCTCTTGTTTCAAAAAATCCTTAAAACTTGTCTTTTTTGTAGTAAAGCCAGCACTACTGAGTAGGATGATAATTTGCAAAATATAATGCTCAAGATCTTGGTAAGATCAGATATTACAAAGTGTTCTGAGTGTGTCATGTTTATTTCTAGTTGTTATTGTTACAGTGTTATAAAAAGAAAGACATTAAATTAAATTAGAACTGGTCCAATCTCATGATAAGAGACATCTCGGTCAAGTAATAAAAAGTCGGGGTCTACATCTTAGATTGGTGAGTAATGTCTGAGGTCTTAAAAGCCAGCCAGTGATCATCTAAGCTATAATTATTCTCTGTTCAACAAGGACATGAGAGGACAGAAGGAAATTAAAGGCTCAAAGAAGAAACTAGTTTCTAGGATAGTCTACACAAAGCACAGCCTCATCTACCTTGAGATGAGAAGGACTAGATGGTGCCCAGCTACCACCACCAACTGGTCTAATCAGGGTCACAATAGGTGGGTACCGACAGAGGAAAAATGTGGAAGAGAATCTCAAATTCCTATAGACAAAACTGAACGTTCAGATGTTCCTAACTAATTGAGATTGGAAGACTCCCTGAAACTACTACCCTATGATACTCCTCAAACTTTGAGTCGAATTTCTTGAACTTAGCTGGTAGCTAAACAACACTCTAGTCTCCCCAAATCCTAAATATCACCCAGAAGAACCAAGCTCTGTTAAAAAAAAAAATCTATAATGAGACCAATTAGTCCACAATTATTTTAAAACAAAGAAAAGAGTGAAAGAGGGAGGGAAACTATAGACTAATGGAAATGGAATAACCAGAGCGTAAATATTAAGAATGCTCACACACTGTGAAGAACACAACTCATGTCAATGAATAACTTGTGCAGAAATTGCAGAATGTCAACCTAAACTGCTGTGTAACCCTTCACCAAAACCACAACAAAGGATCACTGAGATAAAAGAGGTCAGATAATCTACACTGAAATACAAGCAGAGGTTCAAACTTTTAGTGGTGCTAACCACTGTTTGTGTAGTAGGCAAAGAATTTTTAAGGTGTTGCAACTGGAATTTAGCCTCTTCCCAAATCCTGCATAAGTAGGGCGGTAAGGATGCACAAAGCCAAGCCAGATTGTATTTAGGTAGGAATCTGGAACTGGCTCAGTATAGATTCTAAATTAGTATGTACTGGTAGCACTCCAAAAGAACAGTGAGAAAACTGGCTGGAAAGCAATAGCTCGCCTACTCATCTGAACACTGTGGGTTTGGGTGCACAGTTTAAAAGATGTTGTGATATGAGTATGTACAACAAGTGTTCGCCCTTCCAGCCTTCTCACTGTCTTCACTTCTCCCAAAAAGGACTTCTGTAACATGCCATCCCACTCCCTGCCAACCTGAAATTCAGCTCAGGCAATGTCAAACTGAGGTAGCATGAGGGTATTGCCAACCTGAAATTCAGCTCAGGCAATCTCAAATTGAGGCAGCATGCGGGTGAAGTCCAGACTCAAGGTCACAAAGCAGTCACATTTAGATTCCGCTTCCACCGAAGATAATAATAATCCTGTCAGGTTTGCTGTCAAGTGAGAGGTGTAGTGCAGTTGGAAAATTATCATTTTGTAACTGGACTGAAGAAAGGGTTGGGCATAGGAGATCTGGGCTCCATAAAGTTTTCACTGGTCAACTCCTGCCTTGCTTTTAAGGCACATATGAGTTAATGCAAAACTCCAATCTTTTGGTTGGTAGCCAAGAACAAGAACTGTTTATACCACCGAGGGACTATCTTCTACTAACGCGACTTACCTTAGGGGGATTGTTATAAGAATGAAATGAATTAACATATGCAAAAGTGCATGTCTGATAAATTGTAAGGTTGAAGACACCTTCTTTTCTTTATAAAAAGCAGGGAACAAGGAGAAATCAGCACACTGCAAGCTTCTCCTGAATACCAGAATTTCAAACGGACCTCAGTAAAATCTGAAGAACTTCAAGAAAGAGATGTGAAAAGTAGTCCCGATTATAAAGAGGCAAGCAAAAAAAAAAAACACAACCAACCAAAAAAACCCCACAACCAAACCACCAAAGAGGAAGTGAGGGGAGATGAAGTGGATGCAGCCCGGAAGGAGGCGGGACTGCAGTCCAGGGCTGCCTGTGAGACCAGCTGCATGACGGAGGCAACAGGAGAAAAAAAAGCCAATGGCTACTATTTGTGATCCTGTGATATGGGCCTGCGGCCGTGCTAGCTAGTCAACTTCTCCCCACAGACTCCATCAACAGTCATAAGGATAATGATAACCCTTCCAGACATCAGGGGGTCCCAGCACATTAGGTGTTCATTTGAGATAATTACGGCTCTAATCATATTCATTAGTCTGAAATAATTGCCTTCCCCCCTCACTTGTCTGCCTATGTTTCCACGTGCAGCTTAATGTTTACTACTGCTTATATTTCAGGATTTTGTATATAATATTGTTTACCTTTGTTTACTGTATTTCTTGCACATTTCTCCATGTCTTCCTCTTTTTTAGTGATACTGTGCTGACCTTTCCTTTTATCCATATTAATATGTGACATCATTACATTTTAAATCCATTATTATTAGATGTCAATTTTGCAAATAAAGTGTTGTGTTGGTTTTGTTGGTTTTTTTTCCAATATATTTTATTTCCTTGGAAGAAATAACTAACTTGAAACTTTTCATCCTGTAGCCGACTTATACCACTGACGAATTTTTAAAACTTAGAAGAAAATCAGGGCAACAAAGGGCAGACAATAAACCCTGGCAATTAAGAATATCTCTTTAAATTTATTCTATAATACCTCCATATATTTTCCTCAATATGAATCACTAGATAGTTACAGGGTGATGTTTGCTTTGAGATGTTTCTGTGATTTTTCTAGAAGATAAGGACTAGCTGGCACCGAGTTACCTGGGGTAAGCTGAAGGCAATGCTCCCTGAAAACACGGACGGATGGGTCCTCAGGGTAAAGGTGTACCGGTGATTGGGAGAGGTCCTCACAACCACATGCCTGGAAGACAGAAACACAGTCAGCACTCCAATCAGTACTCTACGTAAAAGCAAATGAGGAACATGGTTTCCATAGTCTCCAAACACGTTCATTCCAACAACCAACACCTGAAGAATACTAGGTAGAAACAAAGAATTCTATGAGAGACTTGAAATAAGAGCACCATCCAGTCCATTTCCAAAACCTGACCTCAACTCAGGTGTTTCCTTGAATACAAGGAGTGTCACCCACCAAACACACAGTGGAATATGACTCAACACAATAGAAAACACCATCAATTTCATTCTATTCCCACTCCATAAAGTTGAAGCCAGCAATCTAAATTAGCCCTTGATGAGTATGTTGGAATGATGCAAATTTCCTTCCCTGAAAATGAGTCCACACTTTGGAAAAGTTAGGTCAACAGTCATGATTTACTATTTCAAAGAACCCTGTGCTCATTTATCATGTCCATAAACAAGTAACATACACTTAGCTCACGATAATCTCCTCTATCAGGATGTTAACAAGGCTGTATATGAGATGAATGCTTCAAACTTTGCTATGTAGAAGCACTATTTTTTTTTAAAGTATCTTTTTGAATGCTGTGATTTTTTTTAATGTGTCTGACACGTTGTTGCATGGGTTCTGGTGACCTTATGTACAACAGATGGAAGCCTTGCCTGTTCCCGTGCCTTCCTCCCAATCAGTGCTGCGCCTGAGCCCACTGCAGTAGCTAATGGCAGATGCACCTCACTGAGGGCTGATCCATCTCGTCCTCTCTTTGGCTGACCTCCACTTTACCAAGTATGATATTCTTCTTCAGGGACTGTATACATGAGAAAGTCTCACCATGCTTGCTTCTATGGAACATTCTGGCTCTATATCTTCCAACATAAATCTGTTCTTCTGTCATTCCATCATATATTCAGTATTCTCCATAAACACCATCATTCAAAGGCTTCTGTTTTTTTGTTGGTCTGCCTTATTCATTGTCCAGCTTTTGTATGTGAATAAGGTGACTGAAAAGACCATGGCTTGGATCAGGTAGACCTTAGTCCTCAAAGTGACAGCTTCCCTCTTCAACACTCCAAAGAAGTCCTTTGCAGCAGACCTACCCAATGCAATGAGTTCTGCTTCCATGGACACTGACTGTAGCTCTAAGTAAAATTAAATCCTTGACAATTTCTATCTTTTGTTTATTATGATCTTTTTATTGGTCCAGCTGGAAAGGATTTCTGTTTTCTTTATATTGAGGTGTAATGCATCAACAATCTGCTTTATGCAGATGACACAACCCTACTTGCTGAAACTGAGGAGGACCTGAAGCACTTGCTGTAGGTCAAGGACTGCAGCTTTCAATATGGACTGAAGCTCAATATCAAGAAAACAAAGATCCTACTGGGCCAACTAGCAGCATCATGATAGATGGTGAAGAGATTGAGACTGTCGACAGCTTCAGTTTGCTTGGCTCTACAATCAACACTCTTGGTACCAGCAGCCAGGAAATTAAAAGGCGAATCATACTGGGAAAGTCTGCTGTCAGAGACCTATCCAAAGTACTGAAGAGCAACGATGTCAGTCTGGAAACTAAGGTGTACCTCCTACAGGCCATGGTCTTTGCAATTACTTGTTATGCATCAGAGAGGTGTACAATGACAAGGGATGATAGAAGGAGAGTTGATGCCTTTCAGCTGTGGTGCTGGAGAAGAGTACTGAATATACCATAGACTCCTAGAAGAACAAACAAGTTTGTCCTGGAGAGGGTGAAGCCAGGCTGCTCCCTGGAGACAAGGATTCTGAAGCTTCGTCTGACATACTTTGGACATGTTGCAAGTAGGGATCAATCCTTGGAGAGGGACATCATGCTTGAAAGGGTGAAGGGACAGTGCAGGAGAGGAAGAACCTCACTGAGATGGATTGATTCAGTCACTGGGGTAATGGGGATAAGTGTGTCAGGACAGTAAGATTGGCACGGGATAGAGCAGGGTTTAGGGCTGTTGTACACAGGATCACTGTGAGTCACAGGTGACTCAACGGCACATAACAACACCACCGCATACAGAAAGCAGGAGTCTTTATTTCCATCAACAAGTGCTTGAACTCCTCTTTGTTTTCAACAAACAAGGTTGTGTTGTCTGTACAGTCACAGGTTTTCGATGAGTCTCCCTCCGCCAACGCCACAGTCTTCATAAAGTCCAGCTTCTTAAAGTATTTGCTCAGTTACACAAAATGAACAGGTATAGAGACAAGAGACAGCCCTGACACACATTTTCCCTGATTTTAAACCACACTGTATCCCCTTGTTCCATTCAGGCAACTGCTGCTTGGTCTACGTGTAGGTTTTGCATGAGCACAGTTAAGTGTTCCGGGATTCTCGTTCTTCTCAATGTTATCCACAGTTTGCTATGATCTCTATAGTTAAATATCTCTGCACAGTCAATTAAAACATAAGTAAATATCATTGTGGTATTCTCTGCTTTCAGCCAAGATCTGTATGAAGTCAGCAATATTTTAATATGAATGGTTAATATCTATATACACATATATAATTCTGCTATATGAATGCAAGGTCCTTATCTAGTATATTTTCAGTAACATCACAATGAGTACTGTGAACGTTTGTCATATGTATGAGAATTCCCTAAATAAATGAATTCTCACATTGTTCTTCAGTTTATTTGTGGAACACTCAGTGTTCAATCCATCATCATAGATCTTTTAGGACTGGAAGCAGTGCTAACACAACCATGTAGTTAAGTTCCTTATTATGAAGCTGGAAACCACAGCTGATTAGCAAATCTAACCCTGTGAAACTCACATAATTCACAGATAGCTTTAGTTTTTATTTCTTTATTTATTTGTGTGTGTGTGTGCGAGTGTGTGTGTGTGTGTACCGTCAAATTGGATCAGACTGGTACAGGAGGCGATGGTTCCTCCTTCTTCAGCAGAGCATCTGGTGGATTTGAACCGCGCACCTCTGGGATTGCAGTGCAGTTTCCTGCCACTAGGCCACCAGAGCTCGCCACAGACAGTTTTTTTAAAAAAAAAAAGGCTAATTACAATTTTATGTCTTTGTTCCTTCTTCCCTAATCTGTGCTCTGGTACAATACCATCATCTCTTTACCTCTACCAGCCTTGAAGTATATGGATGACACTGAACTTGGCAGTAATCTCTTTTGTAGTTCTGGCAACGGGTGATATGAATCAGTTAAAGTTAAATTTTGAAGAAAAACAATTGTAAAGGTTATACATTTCAAATTCTTATGATTCAAATTATCATCATAATATTGTTAATATCAGCTAATATATTGGCACACTAGTTAAAGTCACTAGTGCATTCTAGGAATATGAATGTACTAGACACTACTCTCAGTGATATATTTGTGTAATTCACCTTGTCATCACAAGTACTCCAAGACAGTATCATTACTCCCATTTTACAGATTAAGATGCACAGTTATTGAGATGGTAGGCAACTTATTCATGTTCACCTCCTTTGTTAAGGGCAGAGCCAAGATCCAAACTCAGACAATCTGACTCAAGAGTTAAACACAATAACTATGCTATATACAAACCACATGTTGTCAGGAGTTCAGCGCACGGCAAGGCGGAAGGTCAGAGGAGAGAAAGGCCCTCAATAAGACGGACTGACACAGTGGTCGTGACACTGGGCTTAATTAAGCACAGCACTGCGAGGCTGCCATGGGATCAGGCAAGGTCCTGAGCTGTTGTACACAGAAGGCCGTGAGGAGTTCAAGTGGCTCTCATGTCCACAGGGAGTTGTGCTGCTAACACAACAACACCACCTCTTTGCTGATGCAAATCCGCCAGTGGCTACAAGGGAGACGGACAATCTCTGAACATCTGCCGGCAGGTCAGCCCAATAGTAACGACTGAGATGAAAAAGAAAACAAATTATAAAAACATTATTATGCTCTTTCTAAGTATGACAGAGTAAAGACTGAGATATGCATCTCTCCAACTTTCTCATCTCGTCTGCTTTCCACTTTTCAACTCAGCGACAGGAACACAAACATTATTCTCAAAAGTTTCCTACAAAAAAAGGACTCTCAGAAGACTCTAGAACACCACTTAGCAGGTTAGAAATACAAAACAACAAAACCACAAATACTCACTGGCCTGACTGGAAATCCTTTTCATTCACGACTGCGCAGTTGGTTAAAGATAATTCATCTGTAGGGCATCTTGCAGCTTGCATGCTCTAAAAAAAAGAAACAATTAGGAAAATAACATTAAAACTTGTTGGGTTAAGTTAGCTAAGAGCCATCTCCTGTAAATTTGGAAAAACCATCTTCCAAATACCTCTTAACAACGATAGTTATAAGGCATATTTAAAAACTGAAATGGCAATTAGCCCTGTAGGTTAAAAGCTACTGATAACCAATCCTTAACATAATTTATCCTTGCTACCCTTCAGTACTGCCAAAAGCTGACCAATACTGTTCCAGAATTCTCTAATATTTCCTGGTTAGTGGTGAGATAAGACATGCCTAGTCACAATATGTTTATGGCTAATACACTCATTCTTCAAACTTCACACTAAAGTTGATTCTTTTTAATTTATAACTCAAATATGATCTTATAGAAGAAACATGTGCTCATGTTTTAATTTAAAGAGGATATATGTACCTGAAGGATTTACAAGATGATCCTCTGGGTAGCAGAAAGAAAATATTAGTACTTCTCTTTGTATTTTACTTTGTTAAAATGACTCTCACTTTAAAAGTATTTTGTGCCTCAATGAAACCCTCCTCTTTCCAGGGCCCTGCTGATGAAGGATAACACATTGCCCTTTGGCTAATGGACATCATGTCTCCCAAGAAGGATGTTTCTGTGAAGAAACCAGTGTGGCCCACTATCTCAAAGCCTGCTGCCAACCCAGAACCAGGGACCTTTCCTGCCAAGGCCAAGGCTGAGTCAGCTGCCTTCTAAGCCCCTGAAAACCCCAGGAGCCTCTCATCAGTCTATTCAAAGTGGTGATGGAGTTCAACCAGGACTATCTGGAGGAGTTCAAGGAGGCCTTCAAGTTGTTTGATCAAGAAGGCAAGACAAGATCCCATAGATCCCACACCAAGGCGGGGCTGCAATGAGGGCACAGGGTCAGGAGCTCACCAGCAAGAAGGTGCTCAAGGTCCTGAGAAACCTCAAAAATGATGAGTTGAAGCCACAGCATGTGGACTTCAAGGTCTTCCTACCCATGCTCCAGAGAGTGGTCAAGAAGCAGGACACCAAATTCAGATGTTTGCCAAGGAGGGATACAGCAAAATCCTGAGAGCAAAGCTGAAACTCTCCCCTACACCCTGGGAGAGCAGATGACTTCAGAGGAGTAAGAGACTGTTACAGCAGGACATGAGGTAAGCATCAACCATGACACCTTCCTCAAGGGCACCCCAAATGTCTGAGCCTACAGAATCCAGTCCTATGGGGTTGGACATTGCCTCTACCACCCACCTACCTCTGCCTCCACCTCCCTCACCTTGGCTGGCAGAAGCACTTTCTTGCCAATAGGTGGCCACTATGGTTTCAAGATAAAGAGATGGCTCCTCCATTAAAAAAAAAAAAGAATAACCTACTGACAATATCCATGAGCTCTGGTGGCCTAGTAGCAAGGTATTGCATTGCCAACCCAAAGGCACCGGTTCAAATTCACCAGCTGCTGTGTGGGAGAGAGACAGGCAATCTCTTCCCATGGAATTTACAGCCACTGAAAAACGGTTAGAAGCAAGCCACGAGTCAGTTCTAACTTAACAGCACATAACAACACTTCCACATCATCATAATCTGTCAGGCCTTTAAAGAAAAATCACAACGTACTCCATCCAACAATTTAGAAAATGCACAATACCTAATCACATATCCCTTTTAAACCATTTCTCCCTCATCTGTTGCAATGCAGTATACATTATTGAACCCATCCTTCTCAGTCTCCCCCCAACCCCAATGTCAGTCCTGTTTTACAACAGTTGCATTGTGCAGTATTTGTCCTTTTGTGACTGAGATAATTCACTCAGCATAATGTCCTTCAGGGTCACCCATTTTGAATAATATTACATGAGTTCCTTGTTTTTCAATGCAACATAGTATTCCATTATGTGAATATACCACAGCTTCTCTATCCATTTTTTGATGGGCACTTAGGATGTTTCCAACTCCTGGCTATTGTGAACGAAGTAACAATAAATATGGGCATGCATCTAACTGCTTGGGTGGTGGTTATGGTCTCTCTGGGGTATATTCCCAGTAGTGGAATTTCTGGGTCAGATGGTATTTCTATTTGCAACTTTTTGAGAAAGCTCCACACCGCCTTCCACAGTGGATGGTCAACCTCTTTATGTGCACACAGCGAGTCCTGTGTACTGCCGCCTTTTTCATGGCATCATTTAACTTTTGTTGTTAGGAACAACTTTACAATTAAATGCACTAGTATATCAAGTTTCTAATATAAAAGATGTATTTACTTAAAAAACACTGGATATAATGAAAGTTTTCAAGAAAAAGTGATAGCCTAAAAACCTCTCAGTTCTCCTGTCACACACTGCGAAGCAATCAACCTACCCAAGGTCTCTCTACTGCTTTTGAGATTTTTGTGCCTCTTTCTCTAAACCCATGCCTCTAGCCTGCCAACTCCCTCCTCCTCGTTTTTTAATTCTCAGCATAAACACCACAGAAGCTTCCTTCCCTCTAAATGGGCTGAAACTTCAAATGGAAACATTTATCCGATTACATTTTTTATCTGTTTACAAGTTTGTACATAAGACTATTATCTTTTCAAGGACTGGGACATAATCAAGTCTACATTTCCCGGGGCTAGTTCAGGGCCTGGGACACACGGAGTGCTCATCAAACTAAACATTCATTAAATAAATGTATGGATCAATGCCAATCTATCTTAATCATCAAACAAGTAATTAAAAACACATACACACACGCGCATGCACGCACACACACAAAAAAAAACCCTTGAGTATTTCATTTATTTAGAAAGTGCTTCAATTGAACTAAAATGATCTATGTTCAAACTTACACAGAATTGATACTGCCAAAGTAATAATAAACAAATTGCTATATTAACCTTTTAATTTATAAACTTGTTTAAACCTCAGGAAGGTAGTGTCTGTCATAAAAGAAAGGGGTGGGGGAGATCTGTAGGAATTCTATGGCTGGCCAACTGAAGTTGTGAGCAATGGGCTCCCTACTGGAATCTAGAAGCATCTGTTTTTATGGCAAGCCAAGCAGGGTATCTCATTTTCTCAGCTCAGTATAAAATTGTCATTCGGTGCTACAGAGCTGGTTTTGACTCACAGTGAACCAGCACGACAGAAAACTCTCTGATCCTGAACCATCCTCACCATTCCTGCGTCAGAGCCAACAGCGCACCAGCCACTGCGCCAGTTCTTCTCCATGAGTCTTCCTCTTTTTTCACTGGCCTCCACTTGACCATGCATGACGTCCCTCTCCAGGGACCAGCCCCTCCTGACAATATGTCCAAAGTACATGAGATGAAGTCTTGTGTTCCATCCTGCTTTCAAGGAGCATGCCATGGTATAGTTAGCATTCTTTGCAACGTCACCATTTAAAGGCATCAACTCTTCAGTCTTCCAGTTTTTTGCACGTATTTGAAATAACTGAAGACATGATGGCTTGGGTCAGGTCCACCTTTGTTTTCAAAAGAAGATATTTGCTTTTTAATACAAAGCAGGTCTTTTGCAGATTTGCTTATTATGTTCTTTACAATATTTTTTGACTGCTGCTTCTTCCATGAGGACTGATTGTAGGTTCAAGAAAAATAATATCCTTGACAACCTGAACTTTTTTCCATTTATCATAATATTGCTTATTGGTCTTGCTGTATATCTTGGATGTTCGTCTTGCAAATGCTTAAGTCTTCTTGACTTTTGGCACGTAAGGCCACATTTGTGTATTGTTAACAAGACTTCCTCCAATCCTGACCTGCATTATTCTTCACACAATCCAGCTTCTTGGATTAGTATATGGAATAAAAAAGTATGGTGAAATGACCTAATACTGACACACTCCTTTCCTGAGTTAAGCCATCCAGTATTCCCTTGTTCTATTCAAACACCTCTCTCTTGGTCTAGGACACATTTCACACAAGCACAATTCTTTGCAATGCTATTCCTAATGCTATGATCTGCATTTCTGGCACTAGTAATGATGCCTCATTTCTAGGTCCTCTTCTGAATACAGCTTGAATTTCTGGAAATTCCGTTCCTGGACAATGTACTGCTACAACTCTTTCTGAATTATCTTCAGCAATATTTGGCTTGCATCTGACATTAATGACATTGATTGGTAATTTCTGCATTCTGTTGGATCAATCACCTTTCTTTGGAATGGGCAAAAATAGAAATCTCTTCCAGCATTGCATTTGCTTATTGAAACATCTCAGTTGACAATCAATCAATTCCTGGAACATTTTTTCCTTTTTTAAAAAATGTTTTTATTAATTTCAATGAAAATTTACAGAGACTTGGGTTTCCATTCATTCACTGCTGCACTTTTCTCTCCTCCCAACCCTCCCCCCTAGTACACTACCCTCTTGGAAAAGTAAAAGAAAAATTCTTTCATTGTTTTACAAACACTCCCTCAGGTCCACTCCACCAGGCAGCCTTTGTTCTGGATTTCTGTCATGACAAAAATACCTAATCACATATCCCTTTTAAACCGTTTTCTCCCTTATCTGTTTCAATGCAGTATACATTATTGAACCCATCTTTCTCAGTCTCCCCCCAACCCCAATGTCAGTCCTGTTTTACAACAGTGGCACCATGCAGTATTTGTCCTGCTGTGACTGAGATACTTCACCCAGCATAATGTCCTCCAGGGTCACCCATTTTGCATAATATTGCATGAGTTCCTTGTTTTTCAATGCAACATAGTATTCCATTGTGTGAATATACCACAGCTTCTCTATCCATTCATTTGTTGATGGGCACTTAAGATGTTTCCAACTCCTTGCTATTATGAACAAAGCCACAATAAACATGGGTGTGCATATATCTGCTTGGATGTCAGTTATGGTCTCTTTGGGGTATATTCCCAGTAGTGGAATCACATGGTATCTCTATTTGCAACTTTTTGAGAAAACGCCATCCCACCTTCCACAGGGGTTGCACCAGGAACATTGTTTTTCACCAATGCCTTCAGTGCAGCTTGGACTTTAATGTCCCTGGTTTTTGA